TTAGTCTATCTGAAGTGTCACTTTAAAAGCTGTAGTTTGAATGTCAAAGAAGTTAATTTCCAGATTGCTGTTGACAAACTTATTGTTCATTTTTAATTATTTTATTTTTTTCAATACAACACAGTAAGTTTTTCTTTATTATTGAGTTGATGTGTATGCCTTTGGCAAAGCTAACATCTGCCTTATTCTCTTGCCTTCAAAATCAAAGGTGATGATACCCATGACAGTAATACAGTACGAGATGTGTACATCAACATGTACCTCCTACAAATAAAGACTCGTTTTTTTGATACACTGTGGTTCAATTCGTAATAACAGCTCCGTAGTCCTGTGGTTTTAGCAGCATTTTTTTTTTGGCAGGATTTTTTTTTCGCCCTCTCGCATTAGTTTTGGGGTCTTCAGAGGATGTCATCCATAAAATTAAATCAGTGTGGCCCAATGTCCAATTAAAAATATATACAGTTGTATAAAGAATTCTATGTTGAACCATTGCTGTAGTCTAAAAAATGTCTGCATTAACTTTCATTGCTGGTTTTGAAACATTGCGTCTGACAAACACGCCACTAGCACTGGCTGGCCTGGTCTTTTTCTTGGTTCTTTTCTTTGTTTTGTTCTCATCTTCACTCTGACAGAAAAACGGGACAATATTGTGATCATCAAATGAATTTGTCCAACTGTTAATTGAATCTGCAGTACATCAGGGATTTTTATAAATCCATTCATATCACAGGCTATTACATAGCCACATTTATGGTCAAGGCAAAAATGCACCAGTTCCTGCGCACCATGTATCATATGATGTTTGACAAAATTCTTGCCAGGAATTCATTCACTCTTATGTGGTTAAACCCTAAATAAGCTTAACATCAAGTCTGCTTCATCTGAAGTCGTTTTATTTCACTCCACATGTAGAATGCTTTCACAGAGTACAAAAGTCTCATTTCAATAGTTTGCATTCAAATGGTTGAAATTGCACATGTTGAAAAAACATGCCACATAATGAATTCCTAAGTGTAATATGACTGCATGGAAGCTCCAATTTTCGGAGTATCATAACATTAAGCCAACCATGACAATATCATAAGCCAGGTCTGTTGCAATTACATACTTTGCCCTTAGGCAATACTGTATGTTTCATTGGTAGTGCATGCCTAACGATATGGGTCTATGGTTGATTTTAATCATCCCATATACCGTACAATAAATGTAATATTTAGTTTATGTGCTTCTATTTGAGTAAATATAGCACCCAAAGTTATAATTGTATACCATAAATTATACCATGATTACCCCGAACAATGCTCCATGAAATATAGACACTGATTACCCTATGTAATATACATGAAGTAGGAAACAAAACATATTAGAATATAACAAGCCAAACCATGTATTCTGATTAACAATAACAATGTCAAAAAAAATCATGATTTTAATCACCTTTCTCTATATGCAAATCAGGTTGAATATTATTAATAGCATGCAAACATGCATCCCTTGAGAGAGCCAGGGGCACATGCAATTAAACAAACCAACCCAACATCATTTGCAAAACATGCTGCAAACTCACCATGGGGAAACAAGATGTACTAGTCATTTCTCTGTTTAGCTGCGCAGTGTTTGAGTTAATTGAGACACCCACTAAATGAAAGTTACATCTATGTGTACCATCACCATGTACCAGTATAGTGTTAATATGAAACCATAATCTCTGCGGTATTTGGCTCTTAATCATAACCCTTCAACTGCCAAAGTTTGCTTACGTTTTTTTAGTATAATTCATTATTCGTCATCACTCAGACAAAGCTTACATGTGTTGATCTCAGTAAAATTCTCCTTGCTGAGAAGTGACGTAAGTTAACAATGGCAGCAAAAGGGGATTGAAAGCCAGGTGTAAAGAATACACTTACCATCATAGAACGGGTGGAATCAGGCTGGAGGTGAGGAAGACAGGCAGGCAGGTGGGGGTAATAATAAATTAAAACAAAAAAATAATCAAAAACAAAAAAAAGTGACATGCATGTTAATTAGATCAGTAGTGTGGTAATTGTGTTAATATCTACTCAGAAAAGAACAGATAACTATGTTAGTTAAGGGGATGCTAGTTTTCAAAGCGCTGGTATGTGCTCCGTGTTTTTGTTCTGTTTCTGTGCCAGTTAATGAAACCCCCTGCACCTCCACTCCTTAATGTTCACCTATCTGCTTGTGAAATTTCAGATACCAGGTAGAGTATAAAACAATTAAAAAGAGCAGCAGTCTTTACTCGGTGTGCATTGGAATTTTATGTACACAATTTGTTTATTTTACATATGTTTCATATATCACATCGACCTATATATAAGAATTTTGACTCTTCGTACCACGTCCAGATTCTGTGATATATGATCAAACTTGGCTGCAGAAGACATCAGCAATGAAAAAACTAAATAATTTATGCTTAAGGGAAATTTTTGTTATCATTGGTTTCCACAACAAACCATAAACATAACCAAGTGTGATGTATCCCATGAAACCTTAATGATAATCTGCCATGCTGCAAACAGAACAAGTTCCCGAAATTCTATGCAAGTTATCCATGGAACGGTTCAATGAATTCTCTGAATGCAACAGAATCTGAGTGTGGTATATTGACAGGCAAAGGCAGACATCAACTGGCTAATAGCATACATGAAGAATGACCTACATCTCTTTAGGAGAACAGATGCATGTTTCTGTCCTCATGACCAGTCGAAAGGTATCAAAAGGTATACACTAACTGAGATGGCTGTTCATAAACAAGATAGATTGGCTTCACATGTGACACCACACCATAAATCATTCACTTTGTGAAGGTGGAGGGGTTGACATACACTGGCAGACATCTAACAGTACATTATAGTCCCGATTGTACACTTCAAGCATAAGCAGCAGTACCTTGTTCTAATGCTAACAATATAAATACATTTTCTAAGACTTTCCCACAACAATTAAAACATGGATGCAGTTATACAGGGATGTGCTCTATACCAACTTTTCAGTTTCAGTACAGAGATGTAAACCAGGATATGGTCAGTGTCACTATGCTTGTCCATTTATTCCACTCATAATAAATCATCTTCCAATTTTCACCTACATACATCAGTCAGTATTTCTAACTGACAATATTTATACAATATTAATTTCACATAATTGCATTACAGTGACAAGCTTTTTCATTTTTATATATATTTACATGCATTGTATATATATCACATGGGATCTAGAGAAAATAATATTCCCTGATATCATTTAGTGTGGGTCTGCTTCAATAGTATTGTCTTTGGTGTGTAAACCAGACACAGATGGGACACAGATCAATTAATCTAAAGTTGAATTCCAATAATACACTCACACACTTTTAGGATAGTATGAGATTAGTACAAAAATATACACCTAAATGTACGGAGATCAAATGGAGCAGTGCACGTAGCAGGAGCTGATGTGATCTTGTACAGTCCGAGTGTATAATAATATAACCATTTTCAAGCACTAATAAATTGAGATATTCTCATTATTATACATATTTTTTGCCATTTGTCATAATATACTGACAGATGCCAGCTGAAATGCCAATGAAAAGCAGTTCACACAATTGTTCAATGACATGATTTTTATTTTAGCCACATGCTAGTAGATTTCTGCTGCATTTGATGTGAAAAAAAATGTGACATAAATCGACAAACATTTTTCAAATACAAAGGATGTCAGTAACACAATCAAACACGCCTGTAATATTTTTGACCATGTTGGTATATTTTTGACCATGTTGGTATATTTTTGACCATGTTGGTATATTTTTACCATGTTGGTATATTTTTGACCATGTTGGTATATTTTTGACCATGTTGGTATATTTTTGACCATGTTGGTATATTTTTGACCATGTTGGTATATTTTTGACCATGTTGGTATATTTTTGACCATGTTGGTATATTTTTGACCATGTTGGTATATTTTTGACCATGTTGGTATATTTTTGACCATGTTGGTATATTTTTTTCTATGAATAGCTAAGTTTCCATTGTTTTTGTTGTGAGATTTATAATAATTGTTTTTTATTGCAATTATTCATATGTATATTTTTAATCCTGGTACACATTTGTGTCCACCTTATAAGCATACAAACCTCTTTCATTTCAAGAGCTTTTTCCAATTGCAGGTTCAAATGGGAAATCTCAGCACGGCTTTCGTCCAGTTGTGATTCCAGTCGTTCACGTCTTAATCGCTCATACTCCAACTGTGCTTCCAGCTCCTGGATTATTCTGAGTAAAACATAGTGAAAGTGTTAAAGCCTTGAGTTTAGTGTGTTTAAACAATCACATCAACAATCATTATAGTGTTCGTCAGTGACCAACTCCACAGGCAGTCTCGAAGCATAACTTTTCAGCAATATTTTGCAGATTTGCTTTTGTTAGACAAAAAAAATAATAATTTAATAACAATTTCTAATTTTCTTAAGTAAAATTATTTGATTTTGATAAACTCAAATGAATGTGTATCATTATTTTCTGGACAAATATGTCATACATGTAAGTTATGAGTTGGTGACTGTATCAAGTGTAGATCGACAAATGATGGTTTAGGTCTCACAATATTGCAGCAAGTTGACAAACTCACCCACAAATTAGTTGACACATTAGTGGTTGTCTGCAACCGTGTTTAGTTTTAAATATACCCATTCCCCCTTATACACATTAAACCACACTTGACATGGCGAATCCCAGTCAGGATGCTAATTTGATTACAATCTGATACAGTATGCATGCCAATCAACCTGCAATGTGATGTCTTAAATATGTCAAATTATTAAACTATCTGCAAGCGAGTACTGTCCCAATACATTGAAGATTACCGGTACCTGCTATATGCATAATGCAGCAACAACACTACCAGTACTAGAAGCAGGTACAAACACTATATACTAGTAAACAGTTGTAATTTCATGCATAAATTTGTGTTGTACTACTTGGAAACACTGTTTGGGATCTCAGTGAATGTAGTATGGTCTTGATTGGTTCATTTCTTACCGATCACTCTCTCTGTCTCTCTGCGCACCCATCTTATCTTCATCCAGCCTACCACCTAACTGATGAAAATTCTGTTTGGAGATCTCCAACAACCTCATCAGTTCCTCAATCCGCTTAGCAGCGCGACCTTTCAATTTTGAATAGAGTCAGTATGAGTACTCAAACATTGCATTGTGGGATTGTATCTGTTACACAGTATATGTAAAAGTTTACCAACAAGGTTTTAACACTAATTCTTATTCTGATTGCATTGGACAACCAACTCTGCTGTATTCTGTTGAAAACTTAATATATAAATGTCAACAACAAAAATCGATTGATGAGGATGAGATTACATTGTCCACTATGTTGACACTGCAGACAATATGTTAACAAATAAAAACAAAAATTTGAGACATTTTTCAAACAAGGAAGCCAACCACAACCCTTTTGAACATATCTATACAGGTTTGAGTGCTGAAAGCAAAGTTATTTACCAGCACTGTACAAAAAAATACAGAGATTTTAAATCACAGAGTTTACAAATAACCACACTCTAACAAATGCATAATAATCTTACCTCTAGCTTCATGTTTTTGTTTAGGTGCGAGTTTAACACTTTCTCCATCAGTGCTGCCATGATCTAAAAACTTTCGTGCTCTTCTTTCTTCTCTCTCCTCTTTGTCTTCATCATCATATCCCTCTTGCCCATCATCAGAATCTAGAGCACATCAACACATGATTGTATAAGCACATTCAATGTAAATAGCATAATAGGTGTTTTTATTCAACAAAGCATGCAATTAAAGTACATATATTAACCAAGCAGTGCACATGATCACCAATACATGTCTATGTCATTTAAAAAGAGTATTTATTATTATTTATACATGCCAAGATGCACCAAACCAAATGCTGAATATAAAATTTATATAATAAGCATGCAAACCTCTACCAGGGTTGGTTGTATTGCTTTCTTTGATAAGATATTGCAGCCACCTTTAAGTAAAATATTATTAAACTTGGCGCTCTATGCACTATATATATATATATACCATATGCCATATGCCATATATATATATATATATATATATATATATATATATATATATATATATATATACTTTTAATTCCTTGTTTTATGCTTCATAAATGTCTCTAAGTGGAACAAGGTATCACTAAAATAAGATTTATGGGAATACAAAAATGTACTTTGGATTTTTTTATTATTTTGCAATTTAACATTTCATTTCAACACAGCTCAGTAGCACATTTCAAATTGATTTCTCAAATATTGTTATTGCATTTCTTGTAAATTTTAATGTGAGCACATCAAATTAAATGGAGCTGCTCTGCATCGTAGTATCCTCTACACTCTGATGAACAAGAGTTAGCAGTGGAGAATGTCATAACTTTAATTTCTAACTAGTATCCTCTACACTCTGATGAACAAGAGTTAGCAGTGGAGAATGTCATAACTTTAATTTCTAACTGTCTACTTAAATACTGCACACATTAAATAACTGCACATGTATCACTGCATCCCAGTATACTACTATAAGAATGGTATGGAGTTAAATAAGCTTGCAAACTAAAATATAAGCAAAATGATATTTATCAAAGCAAGGTTCTACAGCCACCGGAAAAAAGCTTTGCTATTATCGTATTTCAGTGTTCGGTTCTAAATCACAGTATAAAACTCACATGGATTCGCAGCGTCAAGGGGAAGCTCATGTTTTATGTCATCCAGGATTTCTTGACTGCTTGCATGAGACATTGGTTGGAAACCAGACTGCAATGCAGGCTTATGACTTGCAATATTGGACACAGTTTGTTGTCCAAAAGAAGTTGTGTTAGTCGTTAAATGATCTTCTGCAACACAAGTACATCATGCAATCAATATGCCGACAGAACTGCTCTATACAATTTATGGGTAGTAAATATTTGCCATTATCCTATTGACAAACCAGTAATGTTGTAATAGATTTATGCCACGGGAATCTCAAATCGAAAACTTCAAAAAAATTTTTCACAATCAGTATTTTCTAACAAAATTGTTACCCCTAAAACTGAAAACATGCACTTTACATAATACAGTTATCAAAATTAGCCCACCAGAAAATGAAATGATAACCATATTATAAATTACACTAAACTTATGTTTTATTCTAATATTGTAATATAAATTGATGAGCATACTGGACTGTAGACACATATCATGCAGTGGTAAAACATTAAGCACACATGCTAAGTTATGATGTTAAGTTGAGACGTATGCAAATATGAATTGGTGACTCCATACTGGTGAGAGATGTGAGAGAATTCACAAGCCTTATAAAAACATACAGTTCTACTGTATGAGTAAATACACAATGAAGACAATAGCCAATTACAGATGGAGCCTGTCAGATGTGTACTATCAAGTCATCCTCCACAGAGTAGTCACCAACTTTGCAATATGTTATTGATATGTTAAATGAAGCTTGTTATATTAAGATGAACACAAAATACAAACCACACACAATATGTGACCACATCTTTACAAGATTATGAACTCACCGGAATCCTCCTCCCCCAGCAGCTTGATACAGGATAATTGGGCGAATCGTTTAGCGATATCTTTTGGTGTCTCACCAGCACTGTTCATAATGTGTACTACAGTATTATAGAGGGGGGAAAAGCAAAAACATAGAGAAAGTATGAAAACCTTGCCTCATTTATCAAATATACAGCAATTAATAGCAACATATATTATTTGTGGTCGAATGGGCAGTGTGTACGAATCTCAAACTATGAACTGAAATTTGTACACATACATGAACTGTAAACACATTGTATCCACTCGGTATTATTTTCGCTAGTGAAATTAAATACCAGTGACAATTTATACTCTTATA